CCCCCCCATTAACTTACCCAAAAAAAGAATGCCCCGCTGCCAAATCTAGAAGTAGAATGTTCCACTCCCACTTCCACAATCTCCCAGCACACGCCCTTAAAGTGCTTCTATGGAGTGGATCCCAAAATTTAGATCCAAAAGCTACTTCCATAAGGTGGTCTTCTGGGAGTTTCTCTACAATGTGGTCCCGCTTGAGCAAACAACGAGCACTCAAAGCCCTCTCTCCTCTCTCTCTCTCTCATAATTTTTGACTTCGAAAAAGGATTATGGACCATCATGAAAGGGCGCCCCCTCTCATCATTTCGACTTCGAAAACGAATTTATGGACCATCATGAAAGCCTATTTGTCACGCAACCGGTAAAACCAGAACAAAGAGGAGAACATTACATCTCTGTATCTCCTATAAATATTCCACGATTCTCTCCTTAAATCCCTTCTTCCGTAGTTGCAAAAAGTTGCAGTTAGATACACAGAGAGACCTACAGTGAGCGAGCATGTCTCAAGAGGTGAAAGCTTCGCATGTTCTGATAAAGCACCAAGGATCGAGGAGAACAGCTTCATGGAAAGACCCAGAAGGCAAGGTGATCCAGAACACTACCAAAGAGGCTGCCATAGCTCAGCTCAAAGCTTTGCGTGAAGAGATTGTAAGCGGCCGCTCCAAGTTCTCCGATATTGCTTCTCGTTACTCGGACTGCAGCTCCGCAAAGCGTGGTGGTGATCTAGGTCAGTTCTTTCCTTTTGTGTTTGAAGAGAGAGAAGTTACGGTGATGTCTTATTTCTCTAAGGCGTATGTTTCAAATTGGGGATCTAGGGTTTTTTTTTTATATATATATCTGATGCGCTGGTGATGGCGTCGTTATGAGATTCCTTTGCGTGCGTAATGCTTTTTTGTACAATGTATGAATTTATCTCGTTCTTCTTGTAGAGCTTTGAAGCTTGTTTTGGTGGTTGATAAATTGGCAGTGGTGATTTGGGCTATTCTTTATTGCTCATTTTAGTGATATTTTTGGTATTGTCTGCAATTGTCTTGTTTGTGAAGATATTTTTAGGTTTGGTTTTGATGGAATGATATCAAATGATACAGGAAGGATTCTGTTTTCTGGCCATTTGATTTATTGGTTACCATTTCTAGTTTCTTTTTACTTTTCTGTTGAGAATTCATTTCTTCCTTTGTTTCACTTCATTAGATTTTGGAGTTATTTCTTTCTTTATTTAACTCCATCGGATTTTGGAGTTTAATTTGATGGTTGATGTGCTGGTATTTTCATTTTGAGGTGGATAATTTATATGGAGTTGAATAATTTAAATATTTTTTAGGAGTTTCAGGATTTCTGGTTGATATTTCTCTGGTCACTTCCACTATTGCTGCTTTATGGTATCTTGGAATATTTATTTCGTACCATTTTGGTCTTTGGGTCTGTTTTCTCGTTAATGATTTGGTGGGTGTCATGTGGCTTGATGCCATACATATATTTATTCTTGCGCTAGTAACTTTCTTATCTCTCAAATGGAGAATCTAGAATTCAACTTTCTTATCTCTCAAATGGAGAATCTGGAATTCATTGTGATGTGTGGTTTCAGTGCATGATTGTCCACTATTAAGGGAAATTTGTGTTGTCTAATTTATATTTTTGTACTTTTTCTTATATTGTGAGGTTATTTGGCGTATATTGTGAGGTTATTTGGTTGATTAATGATGTGAGGTTATTTAAAACAGGCAGAAGTTTATTTAAAAGATATCCTCTGAGTTTTTAATTAATATCAATTTTGTGGTACTCTGTGGCATTTTACCTTTGTATTTCTTAAAGATAGGCGACTGTTTGTTGTAATTGATCAATAAACGGATTCTATTGGTCTTTTTGTTATTGCCATGTTGGAGCAGTCTTGAGCTTGTGACATTTGACCTTCTTAGGTTTTTTTTTGGGGACTTGTTAATGGGTAGTAATGGAACCCCTTACGTCACATTATGGCTTTGCCACCTTGATTGCCCAGGCCAAGAGGCCTATACCTAACTTCTAAATGTGGTTTAAGAACTGTGAATCAATTATTCTTATCTGGCTAAAAAGTGAAAGCTTTAATGTGCAATAGAATATTATGTTCTTTAAATCCTCGGGCATAGGAATCAGGCTTTATTCAAATGTTGTAGAAATTTGGCAGGTCTTTGTAAAAACTTACCTGTTTTTTTTACTCCCAGTAAGTTTTGTGGTTTAAGACTGAGAGCTGCCCAATTAGATCAAGTCTTGGTCGTATATCTGAGCTTTTTTTTAAACATTGGATGGACTTCAAACTTTTAAGGGCAAATCTATTATACCATGCATTTACTTTTGTTCTAGGTGGTTATTTTGGGAATTAATTGCTTGACTTTGTGCTTGTTGCTCTGGACATGTTAGGATATCTCATGAATACGCTTCGATGGTAAATATTATCCTGCTTCTCTTCTCCAATAAAAAAAAGGAATAAAAATTATTGTGCTTCCCCACTTTTGTTAGATTTATCACTAAGCTTATCATTGGAAGCATGCAAATTACAAACCTCGTAAACTCTTTATCTACTCTTGGAAAACTACATTCTTTTTTGTTCATATTAATCAAGGAACTGACAGTTTGTTCATTTCTTTGAACTTAACTAGTTAAGACATGCTCTCAAAATGCTTTTGTTTCTATAATACAAGGAATACGGATCATTTTTTCACTGTTGTCTTTTTATATTAGTCTCTAGGCCCATATTTTAAAGATTCATGTCGTTGTTTTCTTCTAGTTAATTATCTTTCCATGTCAAATATCAATTTACAAATCTAGTCAATATTTTTCACTTCTGGAATTTTCTTCATATGATTGGGAAGGTAAATCTAGTCTTTTTTAAGAGTAGTTCCACATGATTGGGAAGGAAAGTGTGCAACAAGATTTGAGACAAATAAGCATTTAATATTAATATTTTTAAGTAATCAATTAGTTTGTTCTTTTCCTCTATAAATAATCACCGAGTCTAGTTACTGTGTGGTGTTAGTTAACTGAATCAAGAACCATATATAAATTCTTTAGTTGTTTTGTCCATGGTGGGGAGGAAATCAAGTTTTGGGCTTGGGTATATGTGTCTGAGGTATGGTCCTTCCCTTTCACTACATAGAACATCCGGGTCCATTATGGAAACAATTAGCTGTGGAAGGTTGTTGTGGTCGGGTGGGAGGGGGGGGGGGGAGGGTAAGGGGGGCGGATATGTGGGGGGCTGGTTGTGACTATTTTTGTGGTTAGTATGAAAGGTGCTTAGATAGATCTGCATGACGGATTGTCATAATATTGTATTTTCTCATGGAATAAATTCTTTTTTAGCCTTTAGGCATATACTAATGAGATAAATCGTGACCCAGACAGGAGAATGTTGACAGAAAATTGCTTGCTAATTAAATCATATAATACAACCAACATTGATAGGTCATCATATAACTGGTGATATTCTTTTATATGAAAAAAAAAAGGCTCTTTTTTAGGTTTTTCATATTTTCCTTTCAAGACTTAACTGGTTTATCTTTATCTAGATTAGTTAGGACCTTAGGCATAGTGATGCTATATTTGCAGTTTCAGGTTGATTGTTGAACCTGAAGTCAACTGGTTCGACTGAAACTGGACTGGCTTGGTCCAGCTTTAATGTTATTGAATTGTTTCAATTGATTTTTAAAAGTACTATTATGTTCTTTCTCCTTGAAGTCATTTTTTGTAGAGTTTGATTTGTACAGAAATTCTCTTAGTCTACTTCATTGTTTAGGTTTCCGCCTTGTTCTTCTTCCTTTCCTTTTTTTTTCCTCCTTTTGTTGGGTTTAAACTTTAAACACCTCTTTGTTCCCTTAATAAGAAAATGTAAGTACGTAAGCTGATTACATGCAGGTGGTAAAGTTCAATTCCTAATCATGACATCGTCAAATTTCTGCTGTCTTTGAGATGACCATGATTTCTCAGTGTCCTTATGTGTTCCACATTTGACACGTCCATGATATGTTGTAGGCCTGAATAATTACCACCTCACAGGCAGTTGATTTAGCTTGAACTATATCCTTTCATGTCACACTTTTTGTACTCTACCAAAGGAAAAAAAGAATGTCACACCTTGTTATTGAATCCAGTCATTATATAGTGCAATGTAATTTAGAATAGGAGGTGCATGCATCTCATCTTGTGTTTTGTAGAGTGTCCTCTTGGTAAGTTTACTATATACAGTGATGGTTTATATTTGGATTTCTCGTAATCTTATTTTGTATGATAACTCGTGTTACAATCATCATATTGTAATATCTACCATACTTCAGTGGACTTAGAAATGGCTTGGAGCTGTTTCACCTCATTCACAAAATAGACAGTCTTTTGCCTGTAGATCTTATAGTATATGTGTCCACCATAAAGGGTTTTCTTGCCCTGCATTGGCTGCCCATTGTTGGGTCATTATACTGTGGAAATACCGCAATGTAGTGGCATATATAAACATGGAAGTTGAATGCAATCAAGGTTTACATCTTACAATAATTTCAACATTGTGGCCTGAACTAGGTTCGTGACACATTTTGGTGTGGTACTACTGATGGGCTTGATTTCATTTTGGTTTCATTTCATCAGAATTCTTTTCCCTTTATTACCTTTTTTTCCTGACATCTCAACAGGTAGGAATAGGACCCTTAATGTCATGGATCTGCTACCTTGACTATTTCTTGGGGCCAATTCCTTGTAATCTATTTTTGCTTTATGAGAATATTTGATCTAGTCTTTAATGGTGTTTTTGTATGTAATTATGCGTTTCCAGGTCCATTTCGCCGCGGCCAGATGCAAAAGCCTTTTGAAGAAGCTACATTCTCCCTGCAAGTTGGTGAAATAAGCGACATCGTGGATACTGATAGTGGGGTCCACATCATCCTAAGAACCGCTTGATCACATGATGGACGGTTTTGTTGCCTCGAATTGTTTGATGTATTTCTCCCCATTTGAGCTCTACTTTTTAACTACTGATATGCTGCCTGAGCTACAATATACTATGGCTTGACGATATACTTCGCTATTGTACCTTAATAATAATTTTCACGAGTATTGCTCCTACGGTTTGCTGAGGATTGCCAATGATCCTGACTTTACTGAGTATTAGCTTTGCCTTGCCTAGGACTAAACCATGATTGCTTATTCTTCTATAATGAAGAGTAGTTGGGGCGTCCATCGTTCACAAGTTTTAGGACTCTTTTTGCTTTTTTACCCCACTAAGCATATTAAAGACCAATATCGATTCTGTAAATGGGTATTCACCCAGGTAACATCAGGTGCTGAGGCCGGACAGTGGTGTGTTAAAAATCGGACCAGTGGGGCTGGTTGTTCACCTACAGATCTTTGTCGGATCACTGGACTGGCGATTTGGATCCAGTCTGGATCGGTTTGAATATGTAATCCAAATAATATTTAAACAACAAACTTAAAGAAAAAAACAGAAATTTATGAAGTGGGGATTCAAGGGGATCTAAGAACATTAGATAGGCCAGAAAAAATAAGAAATAAAATATAAAAAGGTTTTTGTGTGTGTTGTTGAGTTGGGGGGGTGTTTTGGGAAGTAATCGGGCCGGGACCTACTATCCGAAAGCTAGTTCGGCAGCCTGGTTCCCAACATGATTGGCGATATGGATGGGATTTTTTCCTTTTACAAACTCGTATGTTTTCAGTTAATTCTTCCTAATTTTACTAGGCTGGAGGCGTATTTAAGTGGTTGGATGTGGTTTCTATGCGGCCAAGCCCGCATATGTAGAAATGCGGGCCTTTTAATAAATCCATTTTTGAGATGGATTTTAAGACGCCATTTTTAGGGACATGTAATCTCTAACATGGAGATCATGAATATGAACAAATAAATAAATTAAAAAATGACTTAGTTTCTATGCGACCAAGCCTATATATATATAGAAATGTAGGCCTCTTAATAAATCTATTTTTGAGATGGATTTTAGGACTTACTTTTTAAGGACACGTAATCTCTAACATGTAAATCATGAATATGAAAAAATAAATAAAATTTTAAAACTAGAAATAACAATTCCAGTAAGAAAACATTTGGACCATTGATTTCCATTGGTTTTAAATAGAACACCTACTTGCATCCATCTTTAAAATGAATTATTTGCTAGTTTTGGACTGCATGTGTAGAAATGCAGTCCAGCCCGCATGAAAAAATTTTCTATTTAAAAAACTAAAAATAATAATTCTTGTAAGAAAACATTTGGACCGATAATTTCCATTAGTTTCCATTGATTTTAGATGGAACACCTACTTACATCTATCTTTAAGATGGATACTTTACACTTTCTGGACTGCACAATTAGAAATGTCGTCCAGCCCGCATGAAACAATTTTTCAGAAATGTCTTCCAGCCCGCATGAAACAATTTTTCTTAAGCGGTTATATGCATGATGAAAACAAAGAACTTGTGACATGGAGGTTACATGTCCATCTCCTTGTCCTTTCAAAATTTTCATAGGAAAAACATTTGGTCCACTTAAGGTGGACTGCTACATTGGTCTGCTATTGAATATTCTGCGGGCATTTGTTTCACATCAAATTTAGCACAAAATTTCTTGGACAAAGAGGCCTATGAATAATTCAAAAGAGCCTAGAAAATTTTTTTTTAACTTGGTGAGCATAAGCCACCATGGCAGCTAGAAAGCAACATTAAATTTTTTATGTTTAATTATTCATTTATTTAGTAACGATGAGGCAATCTATCGATTGGTGGGAGATGGGGGATACTGTTGTGGCCGCCCTTTGGTGGATCCAACGGTCTCTAGTATCTATATGTAAACCCTTTTGAATATGGTTTTTCTTAGAAGGGCTCTATAGATTTTGCTCTATTACCAGAAAAATTTTCACTCATTGTGTAAATTTAATACGAGTTAGCTATAGCCACTTAATTTTCTCATATATAGTTTTTTTTCTTTTTAAATGCATGTTGCCCTGGGATTTGAAGAGAATGATCCCGTTCTTATTACATAATACAAATTTTAATTTTTGATAAAAACTTGAATATTACACAAATTTAAATTTCAAGGAAAATGAACAAGAAAGGAGAAATAGGAAAGGTACAAAACAAATTGAAGGTGTTTAGAAAAGAATTCTGTATTGTATCTAAAAAAAAAAAGATTTCAAAATAGGAAATAACTAAGTACTTTTCTCTCAACAAAATAGATATCCATGTTAGCAAGAAACTAGAAATTTAAGACATGAATTTATTCGTTAAACTAATAATAACTAAACATGAGAAACTCATATCATAGAAATAATTAAAATATGGTTAATATATTAATATTTCTTTAAAATAAAGTGAAATTTGACGTAAATAACAGTTTCATCATAATTAAAAATAATCCTATTATGTAGATATGTCGTGTTCCTTTTTTCCATCATATTTCTTAACGATATACCCCTATCTGGTATCTCAAGTGCCAAAATGAAATTTGTTTTGAGTTGATCTAGCACTTGTGGCACCAGAATAACTTTTCTATAATAATGTTGGTTCAACACCCGAGTGTTAGCTAATTCATGTTACATGATGCATGAGTAATTTAACACTTTACTTATATTTTTTATTCAATTTAAAATAAAAATAGGAAATCATATGGTTTTGAGTTCGAATAGTTGCAAATGGGCCGCTCATCATCATTATCATTTGAACTTTATCCAACTATTTGGAGTTGGTTCTACAAATCCTGGTCTGCCATTCCGCTCTATTAAGGTTCATCCCTCAGTCAGAACATAAGTTACCATATCTCTTTTTATTACTTCTATCCATGCCCTTTTTATGCCTTCCCCTTCGCCTTTTAGAACCTTCCATTTGAACCAAATCATAACCGGTGATATACTAAGTCGATATTGCATATGGCCAGACCCTTTAAGTCTACTTTCCCTCATCTTTTCACCTACTGAAGCTATGCTTTAGTTCCAGGATGTATTCATTCTAACTTCTATATTTTCTTATCTAGCTATTCATTCATCTCAACATCCTTATCTCAACTACGCTCATACTATGGATATATTGTTTCTTATTTGCCCAACATTTTGACCCAAAAAGCGTGAGTATTCTTATAATTGTCTTAGAGAATATCTCCTTTAGTTTTATTGGTATGCAACAATTACATAACATCTCCACTTTGTCCACCCACCTCTAATTCAATGTGCGATATTTTCCTCAATCTATTTATTATCTTGGATTATCAACCGATGACATTGAAAGTAATTCTTTTAGGTACTTCTTGACCCTAAATCTTCACTAATTTCTTGTTTCTATTCCGATTATTACTACACTTAATCTATCTAATTTTAAAACTTTTATATTCTAGAGCATTTTTTTGAAGTTCTAAAATTGCATTGATGCCATCTCTAGTCTAATTAATCGATGTTATGTCATCCTTAAACAACATACATCATGGTGCATCATCCTGTAGATGCCTAGTTGACTCATCCATAACTTAAGTAAAGAGATGTGGGTTCAATACTGACTCCTGATGTAGGCCTATTATCACTTAAAACTCACTTGTCTCTCTACTAGTAGTTAATGCTCCTTTATACATATCCCTCACTATGTTTATATATTCTCTAGACTTGTTTTATTAACACCAACGAAATTAAACTCTTGTAAGTACCATATCATATGCTTTTTCTAAATAAATAAAACCTATGTGGAGGTCTTTTCTCTTCTCCCTAAACTTCTCAATAAATTTCCTAGGTAGTAAAATAATGTGTCGCTTACAGGGAACACCCTAACACGAGCATATAACATTATATCATAATCATAAAGACATATGGCAAAAGTTTTATGCTAGCAACCAATCTATCACAACCCTCCTTTGTCATCTGGACTTGGGACCAGCTATAGTAGAGTTACTTCATCTCTAATGGTTATTTTGATAAATTTATTTAAAGTTAGGAACTTATAAAATATAGATTTAAAAATTAATTTATAATTTCAAATTTTCAAAAAAAAAAGAAGAAAATATAAACATATGCATATGGCAAAAAAAAAAAATACACCAATCATTGCTAAAAACATTATATATATATAT